CACATATACATATGGAATATATATATGTGTGTGTATGCTTTGCAAACTGAAAATAAAGGTATGTAAGCTTCTGTTCATTACTATAAGCTTTAAAGTAAGAAATGCCTTATATTTGACGAAGTGCAAGAGTGGGCAGTAGCGGGCACGTTTAAAAAGCGCATTTAAAACATTTCAATTTTTTAACTAACATTTTATACTAAACTTTCTGGCAATTTATATCTACCCTTTAGAATGTAAGCCTCTGCCACTAGATTCTGACTTCCTATGGGCAAAGAATATTTCCATAGATTAAAGCATATGAAATATTCATTATTTGATCTTGTCTGACCTACAAAAATGGCAGTTTAATGTAGTTCAAATTAATAATTCTTCATCTTTGCCTTCCAAGTGCAGCATCTGCACCAAGTAGATATTAACAAAATATTTGTTGAACTGGACTATTGAACTGAACTTGGAAATAAAGCTCTTTGCAAAATGATTTACTCTTCAGCAAGAGGTAGTAGGTAATATGTTTAAAGTGAGAGGAATTAAATCACCCATAATTTACTCTTCTTTTTTTCTGCAGGTTTCTGAGATAGGTACATGAAGGAGAATGAACCCTAGTCTGATTATGGACTCAGGAAAAAATTCCTTCTGACACAAAGGGGAAAATAAACTGGTGGATATTCTTCAGGAATGATGTCCTTTTGCCATGATATAATTAATGTTTCCTGTGTGAAAAGCTACTGGTCAAATGACATCCGTGCTACCCTGTACAGTTTAATGGCACTCATAATTCTGACCACACTGGTTGGCAATCTGATAGTTATTATTTCTATATTACACTTCAAGGAACTTCATACCCCAACTAATTGGCTCCTTCATTCCATGGCCTCTGTAGACTTTCTGTTGGGCTGCCTGGTCATGCCTTACAGCATGGTGAGATCTGTTGAGCACTGTTGGTATTTTGGAGAAGTCTTCTGTAAAGTTCACACCAGCACTGATATTATGCTGAGCTCAGCATCCATTTTCCACTTGTCTTTCATTTCCATTGACCGCTACTATGCTGTGAGTGACCCATTGAGATACAGAGCCAGGATCAGTATCTTGGTTATTTTTGTGATGATCTTCATTAGTTGGAGTGTCCCTGCTATTTTTGCATTTGGAATGATCTTCCTGGAGCTAAATATCAAAGGAGCTGAAGAGATATATTACAAACACATTCACTGCATGGGGGGTTGCTCTGTCTTCTTTAACAAAACATCTGGGGTATTGGCCTTCATGACTTCTTTTTACATACCTGGATCTATTATGTTGTGTATTTATTATAGAATATATTTCATAGCTAAAGGGCAGGCAAGATCAATTAACAATACAAATCAGAAGCTTCAAATTGGATTGGGAGAGAAAAATGGAATTTCACAAAGCAAAGAATGGAAAGCTGCAAAGACATTAGGGATTGTGATGGGAGTGTTCCTGATGTGCTGGTGCCCGTTCTTTGTCTGCACAGTCACAGATCCTTTTGTGGACTACACTATCCCAACCACCTTGAATGATGCATTGATTTGGTTTGGCTACTTGAACTCTACTTTTAATCCAATGGTTTATGCTTTTTTCTATCCCTGGTTCAGAAGGGCATTGAAGATGATTTTATTTGGTAACATTTTCCAAAAAGATTCGTCTAGGTGTAAATTATTTTTAGAATCAAATCCATAGAAGTATTATGTTTGACTATTTTGCCAAAGAGCAGGAGGTCATATTTATGAACACAACTTAAGAATACATGCACCAACTGCATGGATCTGTTGTTAGTTCTTTGAGTCAAAGTATGTATGGTGAGTTAAATCATGATGCCTACATCTAGTTTCTTATTTGGGGCATAGTAAGTGTGATTTATGTCATTCTTACTATACATATCGAAGGTTTGCAAATCCAGCATTTAAGAATTTAAGAGCCTACATTTTAATTAAAGAAATTTTCTGTCCTTAGATAAACTGCCATAAGGTGACAGTGGTACCTTTCTCAGTTGTTCAGTGATAAAAACTACACAGCTGCATTGGGATGCAAATTAGAACCACAACTTTGCCATTCATTCACTTGGAAATTTTATGTATATATATATATATATATATATATATTTGTAAAATCAACTAAAAGTACAATTTAATAGTATTATTAAATAATTATCTACACATAATTTGCTATTTATCATTAATCCTTGATACTATATATCCCAATACTTAAATGACTTGATAGTCATCTTTTAATATAGGCTCATCAGATGCTCATCCTTGTATGAAGTTTGGAAAATAAAGGAAAATATAAAAATAAAAGATCACTTATAGCTCACTTCCTGGGAAGGACCATTTAAAACTCTTAAAAACATCATTTTTTGTTGGCAGTAAAATATTACATTGTATGGATGTACAAAGATTTGTTTTAACCATTCCTTTATTGTGGACCACTTAGGTTGTTTCCAATTTCTTTTTAATATATTAGAAAGTTAATGAAGTTTCTGCCTGTTACCTGCTACTGAAGCTCACAAAAATGTCTGGAAGGATCTCACCATATTTCAAGGTTATGTTTGGAATGGTAAGACAGAAAAAATAGGCTATATGGAATTTAAAAAATTCAGTTTTGGGGATTCCAGGGAACACTGAAAAACAGTCACCCATCAAAGCAACTGAACCTGAATAAGAGGTGTAGTCAGGATAGACAAGCCATGCCTAATAAGATGGCATATACCAAAAGAAAAAAGAGGAACAAATATCGGTTACAAATAAGAAGTGGACAAACACTCTCAATTTTAAACATTGACTTGAAAATAAACTCTTTCGCATAGAGATTTCATATAATCTGTTTCATATAAATTCATATAATCTGAGGCCATGTTAAACCCTTCTATCTATTACAGTCTGTTTCAGGACTATATATTTTGTTTCATTGTTCTGTCTAGATTTTTGTTTTAGTATATTTAAAAAACTTTAATTTAGAATATGGTAAAACAAGTTGCCCCTAATCACCACTAGTTTCAAAAACCACCTGGACTTTTTTTTACTTATTAGAACCATTCTGTCAAATCTAAAAAAAAAAAAATGGGAACAAAAGTATTTAGAGTTTTCTGTAGTTTACAGTACATTTCTATGGCTTTCTTCATTTGCTTCTGCACATTCCTTTTAATGTTATTCCTAGGTGTTTTGTACTTTGTATATGTGTGTTTGCCTATTGTAAATAAATATTTTTTTAATCCACTGTATTTTCTATGTAACCATTATTGCTGGCATACAGTAAAGTTTATTTTAGTTGTTTGGTTGATTTATTGGGTTTTCATTATGCATAATCTCATATTATCCTCTAACAATGCTAAGTTATATCTTCTTTCCAGTAGTTATGATTCTTATTTACAGTCCTTGATTTGTTTCAGTAACCAGAATTTCTAGAGCAATATTAGTAATAGAGATAATAAGAGTCATTTCTTCTCTTACATGTATTTTAAATTACTATCCAGGCCTTAATATTGATTCCCCAGTTTTCTTGGGACAAGTTCATAACTCAGATAATTTTTTTTTTTAACTTAATGCTAAAGTCCTTACAACCTATCTTTATTTGTAGGCTATGTTTTTAATACCCGTAATAAGAAATAGTCCACCTTCTCACTTTGATTTTCCACATTCCCAGCTTTAACTAGTTTTGATCCCCTCATACAGAAGGCATTTTTGTCTTTCGGTTGCCCAAAGTCCATTTCTCATTTAGAACCCAGTCCTATGGAAGTGGCCAGCCTCCTGCCCTTCCCCTTCATTAACAAGTAAGTGGATGACCCAAGCTAAAAATTTCAGATCTTTTTCTGAATTTGAATCTTTATCAGAGGGAAAAGAATAATAAAAACTTGTGGGATTACATTCCACACAAGTTGTAAGATCATGACCAGGCTGCTCTTAGTATTGTTAGGGTTCTTGCTTCTCAGATTCCTGAGCTGCCTGTCCGTTTCCAAACGAAGTTCTCTAGCCTCTCATGGACTCTGAGTTCCAGATAGTCTTCTAATACATTCCCTTTGAGAGTAGTTTTTGATTGTAGCCACAGAAAGAACCTTAACTTGACATACAATATTATAGTAAATACCAAGAAAAAGATTGCAGCGACATGGTACTCCTTTCCAAAGCTAAGTCAATTTCCAATTAAAGCAGTCTCATTTTCCACTCTCCTCTCAAGAGGAGTGTTCATAGAAATATCCCCTTAGTTTCAGGTAAAAGACTGTGTTAACAAGGAAGTTTGTTGGAACTGAATTATTAATAATAATAATGCCATATTAAGAGATTGGTGAACTGGAAGCTCCATCCTGATTTTAAACTTGGTTCTTGTAGTCAATCATCCAGTCTTTGGAGAGTCATAAATACTTGCCAGAAAAGTAGGTCAAACCAGATGAACTCCAACCCATTGTGGATTCGGGTGCACCACAGTTTCTGTTTGGTTGTACACTGTCAACTAGAGCTTGAAAAATGACTTAAATGTATAAAGATACTTGAAGAAGGATTGTGTTTTTAAATTTAGCAAACTATAAAGTGTATCAACAAAACAGTTATTCAATAGTTGAGATATGCACTCAACAAATATTCCCGATGATGCAAGAATCAGATGGGGGCATTTTTTTTGTTTGTTTTTAAGATAAATTACACATGCATTTCCCAGTATTTCAAAACAGATCATTGAATACATGGCCAGCTGTAAAAAATAATCAAAGTAAGTAAATTTGTCTGATAGGTCCCTGCCTTCCTTTCCACATCCCTCCCTCAGCTCCTAAATCTGCCTCCCCAAGTCTCTAAGCTCCCAGTGAATTTATGCTGCTCAAGCATTCCAACTGACTCCTTCTGTGGAGGCTGGTTCTACTGTGAAGTCCTGTCAGCCTAGCATCTAATTTATTTCTTTCCCAGCAGAAAGAAATCATTAACTCACACAAATAAAACATTCTCAGCATAATTACCAACTAAAGTGACATAGAATCTTAAAGTTAGCCCACTCACAATGGTTTATCAATGGCAAGCATTCCTCTTTATAAACATATAAACCAGATAAGTAATAAATAAGGTCATGAACTCTAACATTTTTTCATTCATCGAAGTTTTTACAACGTGATGTGTTGAAGTAGTGTTTCTCAACCCTGGCTGCTGCTGGGGAACTTTTAAATACTATTAATACTGAGGCTCTATGCCAAGAAGATAATCTGTGATTAAGAAGGCAAGTTTGGGAGCCAGACTGAATGGGATTTAAATTCTGGCTCCAATATTGATCAGCTATTACTTGGACAAAGATACTTAACAGCTCTAAGTCTTAGTTTGTCCACCTATAAAATGTGGACTATAACATTACCTACCTCACTGGATTATTGATTATTAGATGAGAGATGCTGCCTAGCACAGGGCCTTCCATATAAAAATACTCAGAGAACATTAGCCTATTATTATTATCCCTAGTCATTTTATTATATATGTATGGTGGTGCTGACCCAGAACGTGCTAAGATAGTACACGGAGAGATGTTTACATAGGCAGATATTGCAGTTGGTTAAAAAAAAAAGCTAGTGCAGAATTACATCATCCTCCTTCCTAATAAATATCACAACTACAATTATGCAAAAGGTAGCAGAAGATTTAACCTAAGATCTATGCCAAAAGGGGATAAACTGGTGCACTGTTAGTCTGTGATATGGCAGTATTTGGTTTATAGCATATTTGAGAGCCTGTAAAGATTTTTCTTTTTGAAAAATTATTTGTGTAAAACGCATGAAGGTATAGGTGGTTCACCAGTAGAATTCCTGCCTTCCGTGCGGGATTACCGAGTTCCATTCCTGGCCAGCGCACTTCATGCTCAGCCAATACCTGTCTGTTAGTGGAGGCTTGCATGTTGCTGTGATGCTGAATAGGTTTCAGAGGAGCTTTCAGACTAAGATGGACTAGGAAGAAAGACCTGGTGATCTACTTCCAAAAATCAACCAATAAAAGCCCTATGGATTACAATGGTCCAATCCCCAACCTGTTATAGGGATGGCGCAAAACCAGGAAGTATTTCATTCAGCTATGCATGGGGTCACCATAAGTCAGAGGCTGATTCAATGGCAGCCAACAACAACAACAAGAATGTGTGCGTGTACACACACACACAGACCCAGACACAAAATAACTATATATTTATATGCGTATATAATATTGATATCTAGATCTATTTGCAAAATATCTGCCTATCTATGTATCTACGTGTTTCATGAATTTAAATGAAAACTTGTGCAACCTCTGAAATATGCTAGTTAGAACAAAGTCCCAAAACACTTTGGCATGAAGGGAAATCTTCAAGCTTTGGAACCAGATAAGCCTGTGTTCAAATCCCAGCTCTCTTTGTAGTTCCAGATTTTCTTCCTTTGTACCTTTGCTTGTGCAGTCCCATTTGCTTAGAATACCTCCTCTCCCATTTTACCTCCCTTCACTGACTGACATTTACTCATTTTTAAAGACTCACCTCAAGGGTTACCTCTCCAGAATATCTACAGTTCTTTTAGGCCAGATTAGGTGTCTTTCTCTGAGCTTCCAAAATATCCTGTACATTTCTCTGTTGGTGCACTTGCCAATTGTGTTATAATGCTGTGTGCATCCACAAGACCATGAACTGTGAGCTTTGTAAGTTAGTGTTTTATTCCTCTTGGTATTCCTGTACTTAGCACCATGCCTGGCACAGAGAAGTCACTCAATGCATACTCAATGCATACTTTTAGGAGAATAAATAATAAGGAACAATAAGGCATTCTCGTGATAAAGCAAATAAGAATTAGAGACAGAATTTGAGCCCAAGTCCTTCTGGCTACAAACCCACTGTCTTTCCTGTTTCAGGAAGCAGAGCCAAAGAAGATTCATAGTTTTTTCCCAGCCAAGTTTAAGAGAAT